TTCTAATAAAAATACATCCTACAAGGAAGTTGCGGTTAATAATCCATCTCAAGAACAAGTGGATTATTTTGAAAATCCAGTAACTGAAAAAAATCATGTATATTGATGAAGAAGATATTAAGATAAATCCAAATGATGGATGGTCTATCAAAACCAAATACCTCGAATCAAGAGGACATTCAGGTCTTCATGGAAAATCTAGGCCTCACCTAAAGATTCTTTTGACTGTTACCGAATCGGTAACAATTACTCACCACTACCAGAACAATAATCCTGAAAGTTTTATAAACTTCAGTAAATGCCATATTAATAAAATCTTGTTACCAAGAGAATGGGGTCTTAACCCAAATGGTGAAAAGGCAATAAAGATTGCTGAAGGAAAGTATATCTACTTTAATTACCGGGACTATGTCCAAACTTTTACTCAAGCTTTTTATTACCAAAATCCTAAGAACAAGCATTCTTGGTTCTTCTCTATTAATCCAGAAATGATTAATAAACCCATACCAAATTGGTTTTACGAATGGTGGACCAAATTTGGTCCGTCTTTGGAAATATTACCCAAAGAATTACTTGATTTATACAATCCATGGTGTGATACTAGTCCACTTATTATAAATATTTTATCTGATAATTTAATCACAGGACAATGTCCATTTTGGTTCTTTACCAAATTTCAGATCCCATGGATATGGAGATGGTCTATCACCATATCTCAAGATAAATTCAACATACCCATTTTAGAAAGAAATTTCTTCTATAAATGGTGGAACAAGATGAGTTCTGAAGAAATCCAGAATAAAATTATTCTGATTCAAGCAGCTATAGCTGAAGACCAAAATAATAAAGTCAAAGAGCAAGGCTCCCAACAAATGTCTATGGGAAATTTAAAGAACTTCTTTCAGAAAAAATATTCAAATGAATCAGAAGAAGAAATTATGGTTAGGACTCTGGATCATATGAAGAACCAATTCTTCTCCACTTTTTAAACTAAAACATCAAAAGATGAGAATTCATCTATGAAGACTAGCTCTTCTATGGGATCAATTGATTCCAACAACAACTTTGATTGTTTAGTAGGAGAAGCCTAAGCAGATGACCCAATTTCTGAAGATTTCTGAGACGCGATGATTTAATCCATGGCTCAGAAAGCAAAAGACAAAGCAAAGAGATAAAGAATCCCAAGACAAAGAGAAAAGACAAGAGAGAATCTTATCTTGTCCAAGAACAATGCAATAATTTCCTAAAGGCAAATGCATGCAAAGATAAGAAGGAATATTATTTTAAAAGTTAGCAAATAAAAAGATAAGAATCTTATCTTGGAAAAAGAGGGAATCTTGTTTTTACTTTATTGTGTAAGAAAGTTTTGTTGTTTGAGAATTATGTTTGTGTCGATGGGGCCCAATGTGTACCCGGCATTAATAATTCGTATTTGTTTGTTGTAGCTGGCTATCATAGGTAGCATTTACCGCCTTAAATAGTAAGTCTTTGTATCCCTATAAAAGGGGGTTTTATTTTCTTTTGTAAGCACCCAATTTCAATAGAACAAAGTTTTATATAATTCCGATATTGATTCTGTTGTACTTCTATAGAACAAAGTTTTATATAATTCCAATATTGATTCCGCTGTACTTACTGGTGTATATATATATATATATATATATATATATATATATATAATTATATATATATATATATATATATATATATATATATATATATATATATATATATATATATATATATATATATATATATATAATTATATATATATATATATATATATATATATATATATATATATATATATATATATATATATATATATATATATATATATATATATATATATATATATATATATATATATATATATATATATATATATATATATATATATATATATATATATATATATATATATATATATATATAGAGAGAGAGAGAGAGAGAGAGAGAGAGAGAGAGAGAGAGAGAGAGAGGACATATCCTATGAGAATGTCATTTTTATGTGAGAATATGAGAATGAATCTGAACCATTAGATTTTAAGAAAAAATTGTGGAGATTATGTTTGGTTTTTTCTCTCTCCTTCATTATTAAAATAAATATATATATATATATATATATATATATATATATATATATAATATATATATATATATATATATATATATATATATATATATATATATATATATATATATATATATATATATATATATAGAGAGAGAGAGAGAGAGAGAGAGAGAGAGAGAGAGAGAGAGAGAGAGAGAGAGAGAGAGAGAGAGAGAGAGAGAGAGAGAGAGAGAGAGAGAGAGAGAGAGAGAGAGAGAGAGGACATATCCTATGAGAATGTCATTTTTATGTGAGAATATGAGAATGAATCTGAACCATTAGATTTTAAGAAAAAATTGTGGAGATTATGTTTGGTTTTTTCTCTCTCCTTCATTATTAAAATAAATTATGGAGAAGAGAGAAAAAAAATGACACATAATCTCCACCATTTATTTTAAAATCTAATGGTTCAGTTGATAATATAAATCCTGATGAAATAAATATAAAGACAAAGTCTTTTTGTAATTAAAAAAAGAAAATTGTTGGTGTTGGGATTCAAACCCTTATATTCCAGGTACATTTCATCACAGTTGTTAATGTTAACCGTAGTGAAATGTATTTTAGTAAATAGAAAAAATAAAAGAACCCAAAAATGTGTTATTACTACGTTTAACTGAACGACCGTTGTAATATAGTGTTACGAAAGGTATATTTTATAGTAGTGATAGACTCTCAAATGTCTAAGAGCACATCCAAGCTACGTACGTACTACAACACTCTCACTAAAATCTAATCTAAGAGGACATGCGAGCTACATCCGTACTACAACACTCTCTAGGTGTCTGTAGACTCTCACTGTCTAGGAGTACATGTGAGCTACGTTCGTACTACGAAACTTTCTCTAAATACAAACCTATTCCCACTCTCGTATGATGTATGATGATCAAACATACATGAATACCTGAACCTCCTTCCTCTCTTGAAACATATTTACCTTGATTATCAAATTAAGGATTTTCACAAGGTTTTACCACACATTAACTTTGAATTCTGCATTTAGGCTTCATAGTGGTTTTATCAAACCTTCAACTCAGTTGCCACATTAGGGCTTTATAATGATTTTACTAAACGTCGGACTCATGTCCTAAGGTTTAACTCACAATCATTTTTTATTCATGGTATTGCTCATACATATAAATCTCATGAAACTCTACCACTAGATAGGCCTTTGCATTAGTTTCCTAACGCATTTGACCGTGCCTAAATTAGAGATTCTAAACTTAAGATATGACATATTTGAAAATTCCTAGATATGTAATCGATTACACATTTGGTGTAATCGATTATAGGTATAGTTCTATCCTAAGAAAATTGAAAACCTGGGGGTGGTAATCGATTACACATTGGTGTAATTTATTACACTACTATTCTATTTGATTTTTACTATTGCTGAAGGGGTGGTAATTGATTACACCCTGAGTGTAATCCATTACACTATTTGAAGTTTCACTTTTTTCGTAGAAGTAATCATTCACAAACTCAATCCAAACTCAAAAAGCAATACAAGCACGAATCATAGAACATAATTCATTACGACATCAATTAAAAATCAATTTAGTGCAATCAATCCATCATAACCATCTTCATAAAATCAAAATATGATATTAAAAATCATATACGCAGTTGTGGATAAAAAACATCAACTTATCCGAATAACCTAAGTCATTGATAATATGAGAGAGACTCATAACCTAGGATTTATGAATAATCATATCGTAAGGAAATCCTCACAGGGAGTCAATTCAAGGTTCAAAGGAAACCTCATTTCCCTAAACGCTAAAATACAAATATTATAGAATAATACCGCCCTTACCTTGTTATTGCAGAAATTTCTCTGTGTAGCTCTCAACAATGGCAGCAAGCATCCCTTACACAATCTCTATTGTGATCTTTTTAGTGAATTGAGATTTTCGTTTAGATTTTTGGAGAAGAGGGATTTCTTTAGAGAAAAAGATTCTCTCTCTCTCTCTCTCTCTCTCTCTCTCTCTCTCTCTCTCTCTCTCTCTCTCTCTCTCTCTCTCTCTCTCTCTCTCTCTCTCTCTCTCTCTCTCTCTCTCTCTCTCCTCTCTCTCTCTCTCTCTCTCTCTCTCTCTCTCTCTCTCTCTCTCTCTCTCTCTCTCTCTATATATATATATATATATATATATATATATTATATATATATATATATATATATATATATATATATATTCCCTATTTATCTCCTTTAAAATAATCATATTTTATTCTCTTTTATTTCCTTTCTTCTTCAATTTCCTCCCGCATTATCTCTACTAATTTCTAAATTATAAATGAATTCTATATAATAATAATAATATAAAATCATTCAAAACACAATACAAATTGAATAATAATAAAATAATATTTTAATTATTATGGGGTGTTACATGGCCCATCTTTTCTCCTCTCAATCTTAATGACCTCTATAGTGTTACTAGTAATAATCTGAGCCCTAGATGTAGCTTGGTGGTTGATGCATCAATCATCAATATCGTTAGTGTCATCTGGTTCCATAGAAATCAGGTCAGATTCAATAACTCAAAGCCTACTTTGGCTTATGCTAAGACATGGATTTTGGCCAGTTCTGAGATTTTTTGCAATAACCCCAAGCTTTCCTCTGGTCCTCCATTAGAGACTTCGTCATTTTTAAAAATCCTTCAAAGTGAATATTCATCCTCCCAAGTCTACATCCATTAAAGAAATTATTTGGATGCATCCTTTTCTTAACTAATATAATTGTAATACAGATGGTGCAACACTTGGATGTCCTTATCAGAGTTTATTTTTGTGTTTATATAGCATCACTAAAAATTAATTAACAACTAAACATGACATTAGCCTCTCCTTATCAGAGTTTGAGGATATGCTATTTTGATATTTACAGGTGATAGATCTACATTCTCAATTAACTTATTTCAAGAATGTTAAAAAGATATTGAGGGAGAAACATGGAGATGAAGAGACCACAATCCTTCTCGCTAGGGCTGTTTACTTGATTACCATCGGAAGCAATGATTATTCTTTAGAAAATTCCAGCTTATATACTCATGAAAAATACGTATCCATGGTAGTTGGTAATCTTACAACCGTAATCAAAGTATGTAAAACTTATCTTCCTTCTGTATTTTTTCATTATCAAAGTACACTTAGTTCTATATATACCATTCTAATTGTATATGTATTCAATCCAATTCGGAATTTAATTTCAGGGAATACATGAAATGGGAGGGAGGAAATTTGGGATTCTTAACCAACCATCTATTGGTTGTTTTCCAAATATCAAGGCTGTTGTAAATGGAACTAAGTTTGCCTGCATAGAAGAGTATTCATCACCTGCCAAACTACATAACACCATGCTTTCTGTTGAACTTCAAAAGTTAGAGAAACATATCAAAGGATTTAAATATTCATATTTTAATTTCTTTGATATATCTTTTGAAGTCATAAACAACCCTTCAAAATTTGGTAGGTAATTGTATATTTATAAATATAATTAAATATGCAAAAGTATTATATGAATGTAGTTTAATGTTGTTTCTTGATTTGATGATTGAAAGGTTTGAAAGAAGGTGGAGTTGCATGTTGTGGTAGTGGTCCTTTCAATGGATATTACAGTTGTGGAGGTAAAAGAGTAGTGAAAGATTATGACTTGTGTGAGAATCCTTCTGAATATGTGTTCTTTGATTCTATTCATCCTACTGAAAGTGCTAGTAAGATTATTTCCAAGTTTATGTGGAATGGAAATCAAAGTATCGCTAGCCCTTACAATCTCAGAACATTATTTGAAGGATAATTTAGTCATATGTTTGTGTAAGTGTATGCATGCTTGCAATGGCACATATGCAACTAAATAAATAGAAAAAAAAATATTTATTGGTGTTTTCTTGATGTGTAAATGCAAGAATATACTATGCTATGTCTCATTTTCTTGTTACCAAACTCTTCTACTATTATTCCTTCCTCAATTCCTTTACATTTTCTCCATTAGATTAGATATAATATTAACATTACATTGTCAACAACCGGAAAGGCCGACTCAAGATTGAATATAACTCAATCAAGATGATTATTCATTATATGTATAGAGAGAATATTTTAAGTCATTGAATATTCTTAAAAGGCCGATCTCAGATAAGAGAATAAAATACTTAATCTCTTAATTACTTTCACCTGGACAATAGAACATGTACCATAATGACAATTAAATCAACATAAAAAAACTCACGATCGAGAAGACTATAAAAATTTGTTATCATCAAGCATAAAGGACAAACTTTTTCCATACAAAAATCACGACTCTGACTGGCCTAACATTGGTAGAGTTATCATATAGTGTACGCAACGTGTATATTTGATGCCCATCGTGAGGTCTGGTAAAACTAGCATGGGCCACACAACTAGAATTGACCTTGAATCATTATTGTCCTGCGATGGTAAAGGAGACATCTAGTAGCAACAACAGTGAACAAGCCGACATAGAATAAATGCTCGCTGCTATGGAGGAAATACATTGACAATACGAGACGTTTCAAGAAAACACACGTGATCTACAATAATTGAAACTATAGATGGTAATAGAGGATTAAGAAGACCCCATTGATCCTCAGCCTTTAACAATTGATATTTAGGACGCACATATCCCAGATAACTTCAAACCACCCTTCTTAGCAGTGATTAACGGCAAAAGTGATCCTTAAGAACACATCATTTCTATCAACATGCAAATGGCTGTTATTGTGGCTACTGATTCCCTCAAATACAAACTAATGGTGGAAACAATGAAATATGTAGCCATCTAATAGTACGCGCGTCTTTCGAGGTTCTCCATAACCTGTTTTCAGGACCTAACAAAGAAGGTGATCCACCAGTTCTCACCATGCAAGTACATGAGGGTATTCGCTAAAATCTTTTTCAATGTTCACCAAGGTTATTCCGATTTCTTAAGAGAATATTTGGCTTTTTTTAACGAAGAAACCATCAAGATCGTCCATCTGGGCCAGGAGATGTTTGTAGGGGCTTTTCATATTGGCCTAAAGGCTTCCTCGATGGAAGAAATCATGGCTAGGGCGGAAGGTTACATCAAAGGAGAAGAAATTAATTTAGAGAAAAAAACCAAGGATGAAAAGTAAAAAAGTGGTAACCAAGATCCAATTGGACACCAAAACAATCAGAACGCAATATCGGTATGCGACAAAGTTACTTTCATCCCTCCCAGAAACCTCTCGAGCATTTCACTCCTTTGATTTTTGAGAGGGATTAGATCCTACAAGATGTCTACCATGCGAAAATAATTCTCGAGCCTCATGCCCACAAGGGAGGTTCTATGGGAAGTGATGCAAACAAATGGTGCAATTACCATAGGATATGAGGTCAACATATCAACGATTGTTACCACCTGAAATAAGAAATAAAAAAAAGTGAATTCATTGAGGTCTCCTACATAGATACACGCAGAGAGATGATAAATTCAAAAATAAGAGCCTTACCGCAGAGAGAAACTGGACGAAGAACTACCAAGTCCTAAAGAGGCTAGAGTATTAAGGAAGGACACGAGCCCAACTGAACTCAACACACTTTGAATATAATTACTAGAAGCTTCGTATGAGGTAGAGAGGCCAACTCATCCAAGAAAAAGCACACCAAAAAGGTAATTCATATTGACAAAGCACCATCCTTTAGAGAGGGCTATTCCAGCACCATAAAAAGATTTCTCCAACAAGGACGTAGAAAGGATTTTCCTCCACGAGGATGGTCCCATGGTGATAAACATTTTATCTCCATACAATGTGATATAACATGTCGATCAGAGTAAGTGAGTGGCTAACAACACGCCAGTGGTCTTGAACGGTCGACGGAGAGGGGGGTGTACTTGCAGGAACTCTGATGCTTAAGTTAGTTCAGGTGAAGAGGTGAGTAAGAAAGGGTAAAGAATAGAATACATGACCCTCCTACATATGAAATTTTTTATAGTGAGCCCCAAATGCATGGCCAATGGTCTCCATTATGGGCTGACTGTCCAGACCCACAACAGATGACTACCAGGACTTCCACGTGAGAGTAGGAATGAGCAGCTCGTGCTCATCATCCTGGGTCGATGCTCCGCACTCCCCGCATAGTGGACGGATTTGCCCGTTACGAAGGGCATAATGGTTCCACGAGCCGTGCGGGTCAGTTGGTGACGTGTCCTCAGGTGAGGGGAACATGAGGAACATGTTGTCCATTGGCCTTAACGGGTTGGGCCAACACTCTGGGCCGTTATCGACGTGGGACTGGATTGGGCTCTGCTCGATGTCGGGTTAACTACATGCCCAGTCCTGAAATTCTGGTATCAGATATTAGATGTCGAAGGAGATGTTCTCGATACAAATATCTGTTTAACAAGAACAAAGATAAACAAATAACAATTGTAAAGAGACACAACAATTGTTAACCCAATTCGGTGAAAACACACCTACGTCTGGGGGCTACCAAGCCAGGAAAGGAAATTCACTAAGTAGAATTAGTTCAAAGACATACAGTAAACTCTCTCTAGTTTACCATCTTCTCACCTAATCTCTACCCTTGCAATTTCTATCTAGGACACTCCTAGATATGAGACACCTCTCACTCCCCCTCAATCACAGTAGTGATATCAATCAACAAAGGAAGACTTTAGAAGACACTCTTCAAAGCCACAACTTGATCTTGCTTAAAAGCTTCGATCAAGTACAATACACTCTTGCTTAAAAGCTTTGAGTGAATAATTTACAATTAACAACCTAGTCCAATTCACACATTAAACAATGAGTGAATGACTCACAAAACTAACACACACGAAGCTTAAACCTTACACACTTGCACACACTTTTTAATCCTTACTTCTTTGATCTTCAAGCTAGGGTTTTCGCCTCTTTAAATAGTAATGCAGAATGGGCTTGGGTTGTGGCAAAAGTAACAACAGGTTTTGAGAAGATTCTAATCTTCATCAATAGCAACATATTTGATTTGATCAATCAGATCTAATCAAATAATTCTTCCAATCTTTAATCAATCTTCTGAGAATAACTCCATATCAAATCAAATCTGATCCATAATAAGTGTATCAGAAACGCTTTTAGAACACCACTAAAAACACGCAGATTCTACACCAGAATAGTGCAGCAAACTTGCACATAAAGAAATGGACACACAACCACATTTATACAGAATGTTTAGTCCATGAGTGTCAAGACATCTTGTTTGACATCATGAGAAAAGACTTGTTAAAAGGTATAAAGCAACCTGCTGATCTTGACAGATAGATGTCACGACATCCTGTAGGACATCTTGTGATTACACCTAGTTTTACCAAAATGCATGCCAATCAAGACCTAACAAACTCCCCCATTTGGAAAATTTTGGCTAAAACACAAAACAGATCACAAGAGAAAAAAAAACCAATAGAGAGCATAGCACAGCAGGAGAACTACTCAGTGAGGAGAGTAAATGTAAAACTCCCCCTCAACTTAAGCAACAAAACAAACACCACAACAGTCCAAGCATACTTTCAACGACCTTTAACAACCTGTAATGCCCAACAGAACTGCCCAAGCACATAGGCAACCAAACAACCAAAGCACCATCATACAGCAACCTGTAGAACCAAAAAGAAACTACACAACAGCCCAAACCTAAGTAGCAGCAGAGACCCTCTTCAAACCAGCTACACACCTGTCAAAACTATATACCAAACTGTATATACAGATCAATCTTCTCCCCCTTTTTAGCCACAATTTTTAGAACAAAAAACTAAGATAAATAGCATAGATCATAAAGAAACAATAAAGTTAAGGGCATGGAGACCCCAATAAAATTACAACCTAAAGGCACATGAAGTGCACCAAATTCAGTTCATTCTGCAAAGGTAGACAACACAAACAAAAGAAACCATAAGAGCAACCCAATACAGAACAAAAGCTTAATCTTCATCTTCAGATGTGGACACCTCAACAACATCATTTCTCTCAGTTGGCACATCAGTACTTTCATCCTCAGATTCCTCCCTAGACCCAACCTCACTAGCATCATCAATATTTGCAGCATCATCTTCTAGGCATTGAATTAACGATTCCAACTTGATCTTTCTTTCCGTAGCAACATTAATTGTTTCCCCTAATTCCCTATAAGTTTCTTTTAACTCAGCAATTATCCTTGCCTTTGAAGCATTGGCCCTTTCACCAGATGTCAGAACAATATCTGGAACATGTCTTCCAGCAAAACGTTTGTAGTGAAGGGACAAAACAGGTTCTCTTTTGCTAGCAACATCATTAGAGTTTAGAATCCTAAGGTGTTGATTCAATATAGTTTCACAGATGAGGGGAGGGAAGGCAATAGGTATCTTGATGGCACTTGAAGTAGAATTCTTAATAATTTGCTCAAAAATGTATAAGCCAAAATCAAAATCAACTTTGGTACCTACAGCATAAATGAATCTGCCAAGCCCAACAGCAATGGTGGAGGTGTGGTTGGTAGGAACCCAATTTGCAGCCCCAGTCTTGTGAAGGATGGCATATTTCACACTGAGTTGTCCAGCTGACAACTTACCTTTTGAAGTTCATGCTTTGACTTGATTGGCAATGATGACCCTACACACTTGGTTGTCTGTAGCAAACATTTCTTCTTCACCATCGTTTGATCGTCCCAGAAATCTGTTGATTACAGTTGGAGAAAACTTCACACATTTACCCCTAACAAATACCTTCATATAGTCCTTGTTGTTCCTATCAATAATGGAATCAGGAATGTTCATAATGAATTCTTTCACCAGCCCTTCAT